TCTTATATATAAGGAAATACTAGCTACTTTTATCTATATTCAAGATATTTTCACTTGCTAAGATGCCATTTTTTGCAGTACATGACTTCACTGAAAAGCACCGATACAAGAAAACTTTAGCATTAGGCTGGTTTCCTGTGGATAATGTGTAATACAGTATGTCACTTTGGGATTTGGAATGTCCGCCTTCATGCCTGCACAGTAGATAAATGTCATTTGTTCAGTTTTTGTAAATGTAACAGTGACCACCATTTATTTATAGTAAAATACTTAAAAATAAAATACAAATAATAACTTGACTGCATATTGGAAATGTAACAGAACCCTTTAAATGTTGTTAAGGTTAAAACGAAAGAGAACAAGACTCAAGGACTTTCAGGTAGGACACTTTACCTTGATACAGGTCAAAAGAAAAGAGTGATCTCTGTGGAAGGATTCTACAGGAAGGATACCTTCCACTTCTTAATTTATTCTTCAGTCTTTGGACGTTTAAGTGGCAAATAATCAGCAAGAAGTGGAAAGTATTTTACCTACACTACTGAGATTGTCCATGTTGTGGCAGGACATAGGACATAATCAATCTGTGGTTAGGAAAATGTGCAATCTGAGAAATAAAGAGAAGGGGTGAGAGAGGAGATGGTAAGGCATCACATTTTATCTTATTTGGCATGCCTGAGGCTAGAGCAGGCAAAGCTCATCATGAGCTGTTAGCTATTTATTGTAGTCTGGATTGGTTTAAATCTAGATTATTATTGAGTCTCTTCATGAAGCCACATATATTTGGGCTGGAGCGTCTTTGTCAAAAAAAAAAACCCTACAAATTGATAATACTAACCAGTCAAGCACAGGAAGGCAGATTTTTTTGTGCTATGGCTTGAGGAATTCCTTACGAAGAACACTAAACAGCAGGTAAGACTGCATAAGATCTTAGTCATGGCCATCCTTAGCCCCATCTTCTCCAACATCCAAAAGCTCCTCAGTCTGGCTGTGTTCCAGTCTCCTTTTTTTTTTTTTTTTGCTCAGTTTGGCAAGGTTGGCCATCGGACAAGACATCTCTAAAAGTTTTTGCATACCTGGAGAGCTGCTTGGTTCATGAAGATGTACTTGAGATTCACTCCAGATGGAGGAGGACTAACATATAATCATAACACAGCTCCTGGATTACCAGGTTGAACTGTAAAATATTTTCATGACAGATGGTCGATTTTATGTGACAAGGGTGAGTAGGACAATGAGTACGATTAACTGCACCCAGATTTTTTTTTTTACTTTATTTTAAAATTAGATATAACTTCTGTTATAGTGTACTTCTTTTATTACCACAGAACACTGCTATACACTTAACCTAAGAATGGTATTCAAATGCATGTGGCTCTTTTTAAAACATTAAAAAAAATTTTTTTACGTATTGGAAATGACTAAAAAAAGGTACAATGCAAAAAAAAAAAAAAAAAAAAAAAAAAAAAAAAAAAAAAAAAAAAAAAAAAAAAAAAAACAAAAAAAAAAACCAGATCTTAGCCAGTGAAGATATCTTGAACAAAGGGAAAGTTATTTAATATTTCTCATTATTATATTATTATATAATAATAAGAGATTATATAAATAATAATAGATTATTATATAACAAATATAAGACTATTTACTATTTACACATTTCAAGCTTAAAATTGTTTTATTGTATTGGCAGATAATTTTGATTCTTCCTAGAAATAACTAGAAATAACACTTGACATAAGCAAAATTATCTGCCAAAAGAATATAACAATTTCAAGCTTGAAATTAGTAAAAATATCTAGAAATAGGTTTAATGATCTTATATTTGTTTAAAAACAATAAAAAAGAGAAATATTTGCCTTAGGTTCCTATAATAAAAATATTTTTTACTTGCTATAATTTTTTTTTGCAGTGTAACTGTCATATAATTCACATGTAATTACCTCGCATATTCGAATATTAACACAATTTCCCAATATAATAAACTCTGATTTTCTGCTTCATTATCTCAAGACATATTTCACTGCTTAACACTGGATATCATGAACATTTATTCTATTTAAAGATATTTTTTAAAGATACAAGAAACATCTTGTATTGTTTGCTTTGCTTCCTCAGAAGATGCATGCATGCATTACACCAATCACATGAAGAACTAACTTTCACATGAAGAATTTCTGTGAATAAATGAAGAATGTCAATTGCCAAAACTTCAAGTAGATCTAATAATAGATATCCTGAGTAAAAGTAATTGGACAATTGACTGATAAGCAGTTTCATGGCCAGATGTGGCCTGTTTTCTCATTATTTCCTGCCAGATTAAGGAGATAAAAGATCTGGAGTTGATTCCAAGCATTGAATTTGCATTTGGTAGCTGTTCATGGGAACTCTGATTATGCGGTCCAAAGAGGTATCCATGCAAGTGAAGGAGGCCATCATTAGGCTGAAAAAACAAAACAGTCCTATCAGAGAGATAGCAGAAACTTTAGGAGTGGCCAAATCAACAATTTGGTACATTCTTAAAAAGAGGGAATGCACTGGCGGGCTGAGCAATACCAAAAGACCTGGAAGATCATGGAAGACAACTAAAGTGAGTGATTGCAGAATTCTTTCCTTGGTGAAGAGAAGCCCCTTCACAACATCTTGCCAAGTCAAGAACACTCTGAAGGAGGTAAGCGTATCATTGTCAAAGTCTACAATCAAGAGATGCCCTCATGAATATAAATACAGACAGTGTACCTCAAGATGCCAACCACTGGTAACACTCATGAACAGAAAGGCCAGATTAGACTTTGCTAAAAAAAACAAAACAAAACAAAACAAAAAAAAACCTCTAAAAAAAATCCTGACCAGTTCTGATGCAAGATTACCTTGTACCAGAATGATGGGAAGAGAAGAGTATGGAGAAGGAAAGGAAGGGCTCATGATCCAAAGCATACCATGTCATCTGTCAAACATGTGGAGGCAGTGTTATGACATGGACATGTATGGCTGAAAATGGAATTGGGTCACCGGTGTTCATTGATAATGTGACTGCTGATAGAAGTAGCAGGATGAATTCTGAAGTTTATAGAGCTATACTTTCTGCTCAGATTCAGTCAAATGCTGAAAAACTCATAGGACAGTGCTTCACAATACAGATGGATAATGATCCAAAACCAACTGTGAAACCAACCCAAGAGCTTCTTAAGGCAAAAAAGTGGAATGCTCTTAAATGACCGAGTCAGTCACTTGACCTCAACCCAATTGAGCATGCTTTTTGCTTACTGAAGACAAAACTGAAGGCAGAAAGGCCCACAAACAAGCAGCAACTGAAGGAGGCTGCAGTAAAGACCTGGCATAGCATCTCAAGGGAGAAAACTCTGCATTTGGCGATGTCCATGGGTTCCAGACTTCAGGCAGTCATTGACAATGGATTTGCATCCGAGTATTAAAAATAAGCCTAATATTTATGATTATGTTAGTTTGTCCAATTACTTCTGTGCCTGTGAAAATGGAGGGACTATGTAAAAAAGGCTGTAATTTCTATACGGTTAAATCAATATTTATGTTAAACCCCTTGAATTAAAGCTGAAAGTCTACATTTCAATCACATATTGATTGCTTCATTTTAAATCTATTGTGATGATGTATAGAGGCAAAATTACAAACATTGTGTCACTGTCCACATACTTACGGACCTGACTGTATATTTTTTATATTTAGCCAGTGAATACAACCTGTGAATCAGTTCACGAGACAACAGTGATTTACCGCTGCCTCCCCTGTGAGTAATAAGACTCCTGTTTAACAGCTGTTGAATCACATTCAGAGCCTGGAAGAGAAGAGAGCTGGAGACTCTCACACAAATTGCATTGAAAGAGCAAAGTGGGCATAAAAGTTCACAACAAACTGAATCAAGCTGCAAATGGAAGTTGTGCTGAACACTTCAGGAGCTGTCAGGATGCAAGCAGATACCGTATGTATGATCACTGATTTCAGTTTCTAACACATATGACTCACCTACTTGGAATGGACTATATGACTTTCTGAAATTGTAGGTGTACTCCCCTAGATTGTATATGACTGATGGATGATATTTCTGAGTAGTGCCAGGGCGATTTCCCCTTCCCTGTTCTCGCAGACAGCAACAATAACTTTGGGATATTTAGTGAACTATGGAAACGCCTTAGTAAAATGACCAGGCACTGAGTATATTTCATTTTTACTGAATATGGCACAGAGCCCAGTGTAAGGAGCATGGCAGTACATCAGTTAATTACAAATCCCAATTGGTCAAATAGAGAGCCACAGTACAACAAATTTAATCAGTCTATCACTGTTGTGCATAACCAGCACAAAAGCCAGAGATAACAAAGGACAGGTCTTAAAAAAGGTTGGACTATGTGCCCAGAAAGCATGTGAACACTTAACAGCTGGTTAAAACTGACTGGGGCAACTGTTGTTGTTGACTTTCATCTATGGAAAGGTGGTTACAGTCAAAGCCCCTCGGGAGTATTACTGTAGGTCATTCCTCCATCATCTCTAACTGGTTTACTCTCTATTACAAGCGGCTTTGTATCCCTAGTGGCAGTTAAGATTGTCCCAGAGCAGCTGTCCCCACTTCAACAGCAGAGAAGAGATTATTGTTGTACTATGTAAAGAAGACCACAAGTATGGGAAGTGGATGATGCAGCCATTTTTGTAGACATAGCAGTGTAGTGGTACATCATCATGAATAATAGAGCATCACTGATGTACTCACAGTTATGATGTGTAATTGATGGCTGTAGACTGGTATTGATTGTTTTACTAAATCTGTTACATTTACTTTAATTTTTGTTAAATAGCTTATTTAACAACAAAAAAAACTTTCCTAACCTTTTTGAGACATTCCCGATTCCGATTGATGAATGTGATTTTTTTTTTTTCAAGTATGACATGTGAATCAGAATCTTTTATTCATAAAGTATAAGATGTACAAGGAATTTCTTGTATGGGAAGAACACGCAGGCTCCGTGCACACAGGGCAGAGGTGGGATTCGAACCCCCAACCCTGGAGGGCAACAGTGCTACCCACTAAGCCACCATGCCCCCCATTTTTTATTGCTAAGTGTTGAATAATTACAAAAATAGTACAATTTAATGATGTATATCGGAAGAAAATGTACAGTTAAGCATCTGAGCAGCAAGTGTTTTGTGCAGTTACATGTTACACATTACATCAGTGAGGAGGGATGTGGGAAGGGCTCTTATTTCAGAGGATTATAGCCTTGGGAAAGAAGCTCTGCTGTGTGTCGACTGGGGCTGGCCTTTAGGACTCCACTGGTTTCCACTGTGAAGTGAAATGCTGGAAGAGAGTGTGGGGGGGGGGTCAGCCATGTTTTTCCCACCATCTTCCCCACCCTTGAATACAGGCCTGTGAGGGGGAGAGCCAGCAGCCGATGATTTTCTCTGTGCTTTGGAAAATGCGATGTAGCTTATGCTTGAATTGCAAGGTTGCAGAGCTGAACCAGCCAGGGATAGATATGTTTCTGAATCAACATCCCTTAATATTGGTCCTGCAACACCATTCAGTTTAATCAATCACCGCTAAACAGTGTCCCTCCCATTGCTGAGCCATCGAAAATTCTTCTAAGAAAATTCCCTCCAGAACCCTTAGATGGCTTCCATGTAGGAAAGCTATTGTGTCACTTGGCATTTTAGGTTATAAAGTTAAACAAATTTACATTCACTGGCCACTTTATTAGGAACAGTGTATAAGTACTTTATTAAGAATAGTGTATAAGTACACCTGCTCTTTCATGCAATTATTCCAGTAGCCTAAAATCATGCAGATACAGGTCAAGAGCTTCAAACACAAGAATGGGGGAAGATGTGATCTGAGTGACTTTGATCATCGCATGGTCATTGGTGTCGATGGGCTGGTGTGACTATTTCAGAAACTGCCGATCTCCTGGGATTTTCATGCACAACAATCTATGGAGTTTACACCAAATTGTGTAAAAAAAAAAAAAAACATCCAGTGAGAAGCAGTTTTGACAAGAAGGCTACTGTAACCTAAATAAACCACTCTTTACAACCGTGGTGAGCAGAAAAGCATGTCTGAATGCACAACATGTTGAATAAGAATATGAGGGTACAGTGCACACAGTGGGTGCAGAGTTTTTTTGTTTTCGGCAACACTCTGTATAAACTCTAGGGACTGTTTCCCAGGAAATCAATTAGTTTCTGAAATAAACCACCCCTTTGTTGAAAATATTGAAACACTGACCATATATAGCTTCATGTAGCCAATTTAAGCCCAAACTAGTACTCTTGATTGGCCGGTTTGGTATGCGCAGCTGGCTAACAATTCCTAGCTTAGCTGATTTGATAGCTACAAATAAAAAGTACTAAGAGACCTTGTTTTAAAAATAATGAAAGAAGTGCAACTTTTTCAAGCCTCAAGAGTTTTGTTCATTTTTATGAATTGAAAGTGAAGTGACACAATGCTTTACCTCTTTTAAAAACAGCACTATTTTTTAAAATAAATGACTCAGCTAATATTACTCATTAAATTAACATTAGCTAGCTACCTTACCCAAAAACAAAAAATTAAATCAAACAAAATGTGGAGCTACACATTAGATTTCCTGTCTGGAAACCAACTGGTGCAGGGAGGTATTTTTTTGGGATGAAATATTCCAAAGTAAATGATCAGCTTAGCTCAAGAGTACCTTTAAAGGTGCACAATGATGACATCGGAAATGAGCAAATGGCTGAAAGGAATGTTGTTCCAAAAACAGCAAAGTGATGTTGATCCAGGAACTACATGAAGATGCCACATTCACCTATTTGGTTTATGGTTAGTGGAGCATACTGCTTGAAGAATGACTTTATTAAAATATATAATGTGCTTTAAAGTTGAGGCTTGCTTGCGACAACATCTGTCTGTCAACCCAAGAACTACAGCAGGTATAAGGTCTGCAAGGAAGTTGTTGTGACATGTGGCCATGTCAACGTACCAGATGGCTTTTAACTCAGATAGCTAATGGTGGTATGCTCAGATCAGTATGTAGCTGACTGCAATATGACTCCGGGTTTATGGATTTACGCCTGCCATGACCTCAGTATGTCTGGCACAAAGCTCCCACAGGTATGCTGAGTTGAATGTAACACTGCTACATATACATGCCCCATAAACCAGTATAGTATATGCTATATATACATTATATACAGAGACAAACATAGTGACAGAAGGGAGATAGAGAATCTGTCAAGTGAGTTAAAGGCACAGGTTTACACAGTAAGTGTCAAATTTTGGTGGACAAAAAAGCATGATTTATTGCTAAATATACAGTTGTGTTTGTTTCTTATTTCATTAAATGGAGACAATTATATACTCTTAGAAATAAAAAATAAAATCTGGAACCCTAAAGAGTATATTTGAATATATTTGTCCTTCTAGGAGAACCCTCTTGGAGTGTATAAATAAAGAATGATTTACAAAATTAATAATAATAATAAAATAATAATGTTACATTATTTTATACCAGCCGTCATGATGTTATTTATAAATTTTTATTACTTATATTAGAAAATAATGTGAAAAATCTGTGAAATAATGTTTTAAAAAAGCAGAAAAACGGCATGTTTTTCTGTACTTGCTAATACTTAGACGTCACATTTTGAAATGATAAACCATCAATAAATCTTAGTTATTTTATTTTGCATTTATTTTCTCTTCACAGTTTGCTGTTATAGTTACAACACCCACATTATTATCTGTTTATCTGTGTGTTTTAAATATTTAGGTTTGTTTTCCATTTATGCATTTTAATTCTTTAAAACTTTAACTTCATATGAAATACTGTTTTTATATAGAATGATCCATATCCATATACAGAAACGACAAATACCCTCTATTTATCCCTCTATTTATCAGTTTAGTGAGATTCTGAGTCATGAGTCATAAGTTAATTGTGTGTGCCTTGACAGAGTGCAGGCTTCACAGATTGTAAAAGGGATGGCTGGTCCCTGTTTCTTTCTCTGTAAATATTTCATGGATTATCTCCAAAACCACACTGACTATGTCCACTGGAGGAGCAGTGAAATGTGAAATGGCAAAAGGGGAAAGAAAGCAAGACATACAGTATGAAATAAGCAGCTCGCTCAGTCAGGCTGAGAATATCTGCATCGACCCCTCCCTTTATTTCTCTCTCTTGCTCTCTCGCGCTTTGTGTCTCTCTCTTTCACCCTCACAGTAGCACCTATTCGTTTCTTCCCTCTCTCGTTCGCTGTCTGGCCCACCCTCTTTCACGGAAGCAGACTTGGTGCACCACTCACTTGAAACTTAGAGGCAATTTGATTGAGTATCTTTTTATTTCTTGGGCACTCAGCAAAGTCTCTCTCAGACACGCACCCAGCAACACGCACTATCTGGATTGAGTCTTACAGTTTGTGGTTGCCTCTTTGAATTTCCTGGACCATTTACTCTGAGGTAGGAGATGGACACAGACGTGAGTGTCTCTGTGTGACTGTGTGAGTGTCTACGTGCATCAGTGTATATTAGGTGAAATGGTTCAAGCGTAGACTAGCCTTGTAGATTGTAATAGTCATGTCATGTATAAAATGTGCTTGTAACCGTGCAACTGTTTTGCTTGTAACTGTGCATGTGTGTCCTCCAGTTGTAGACTTAAGATCACTTTATAGGATGTGCATCCGAGTGCATGGTCATGTAGCTGCACAGGTGAACATGTGCAAACTATACTGATTTCATTGTTGCTATGACACCACTTAATAACAAATGTGTGCAGATATGAACTTGTGAGTAAACACATCAGTATAGCTCTCGAGCATGAACTGGAGCCATTCAATAAAGATATTCAAATACCTCTTGGGGTAATGGGATGTGTGCATTAAACTGATGTGTATACTCGCTTCTGTACAGTGCAGTTCAGGTTTTAATGTTGATCTTGCAGCTGTAGAGTCAGCAGCAACTCCTGCTATCTGAATTAGCTCAAGCCTATTAAACTGTCACACAAATGTTTTCCTCCACCCCTGGCATCTAGACCTACACACACAGACCACTACACACCATTCTCAGTATCATCCTTCAGGTATAGGCTTACCACTTAAATCTTCACCCCTCAGTAAAATCTAATTACAACTTGTGGGTTGTCAGATCATTTATTTGTGCAACATTAGTAATATCAACACCATCACTCAAGCGAGATACTCCGTGCCCTGGTGTCAGACCATCACATTAACCCTGAGCTTATTCCTTTATGGACCTCCAGAGTTGTTAAGCTGTTAAAATTCTATTCCCATTCTTAGCGCTTTGGGTGATTATTTATGCAAAGCTGACATGACTTTTCCTTCACTGCATGATTGATTAACTTTGCATGCCTCTTCTGTCTCACTCCAGAGCTGCTGGAACATATTTTTTCTATGGAATGGTTCACTTTTCCCAGTGGTTTCTGGTGAATGGCATATGGTTCATATACTTTACAGCGTAACACAGGTGCATCCACGGTTGTTCCTGCACAATGCTGTTCCAAAACATGACTCTCTAAAGAGGTGCCAAACACGCCCCGTGTAACTGTCTCAGAGCCGCCTGACAACATCTGAAAACACAAAAATACACAGCTTTATTGCCAGTCATGCAGGAGGTGGGATACAGGGTGGGATTATAGTGTAAATTGTTTCCAGTGTATTTCATGAAAAGGTTTTACAACTTCATGCCAATGTTTCACACACACACACAAACTTTTTATGTATAACGCTCCCGTGTGTTCTGAGTGCATGCTTTTGATTTAGGATATATCTTTATTTCTTTGTCATTAGTGTCTCCCCGTTCTGACTGTGAGGATTTCCCTGTCAGTTACGGCTCCAGAGATTCCATCCTCAGCCATAAAAACAGCTGGAGAAAGCAGAAAAGAAAAAACGGAAGAGAGAGGTACATACGATATTCCAGTCTTTTCAATCTAATCTCTGTTGAGTGCAGATGTAGTGTATGGATGATTGACAAAAGGAAGGAAAATCTATTACGTAAAACTTAGTTGTAACATTAACAGATTATGAATAAAGGCATTTGGATCATACAAACATGA